ATTTAAGGCCAGTAAAATGTCATCTGTATAACAGAGGCTTATATATATTGTCCTGTTAGAGACACTTTACACTGTACATTTTCAGGCTTGTATGTTACCGCGTTTCAAATTGGTGTTTTAGAGATGTTTTTAGTTTTATTCTCTGTAAAAGAAAAAAAAAAACAAACGTTTTATATGAAAGAAAGGCTGTATTGTAATCTGCTCAGCAGATTGAGATTTGAAAAATTTGACATTTTCTGTTCAGTCCAGACTTTACTGACATGCTCCGCCAACGGAAAAGAATTAAAAGTGCCACGAGACGCGAAAAGGCACAGAGTTTAATCGAAGGAAATTAGCAGCTTTACAGTTTACTTACATAGACTTTATAACCACTTTATTGTAACATGCGTAACAGTCTTACTACTGTCCTAAATGATTATTTCATTCCTAACAGGATTTGTTTGTTAATTTAAAATAGTCTATATTCTTTTTGGTTGCCCAGATTATAGTAGTATACCTACAAGGGCAGTTGATTTGGACAATGTCCACTGTGGCACACATTAGTTGATTAAAATGTGTTGCTTTGAGTTCTTTTTTCTTTTTTTTTAAAGTATATAAAGTATATAAATGTGCCTGTACACTTGCCCTTGGGCTGACCTAAAAAAAAAATAATAATAACCTTTCAAATTTTCTAGAATTGAATGCACTTGTCCAAGCACCTTTTGATCGTGCCAGGTGTTCCGGCACTGTTTGCAGCTTTTCATTCTGCACTGAAGGTTTTGACTCTCTTTCAAAAGCACTTTAAAAGAATGAAGTGTTGTTTGGCCCCATTCATTTACCCCAGGCTGCGCCCTCTGCTCCGCGAGGCTGTTCGAAAACAGAACACTACTAAACCATTCCAGGTCACACCACATGAATAAGGCCCGTGTGAAACCCCCCGTCGCAGTGACCGTGGCCTTTTGTTTGCTGTACGAGTTTGTTTGTGGAAGGGTGTTCAACTGGAACGAGTGTCGCCTGTGTTTTACTGTTCATGTTCGGTCTCCGTAATTAAAGAAGACAAACAAAAACATAAATAAAACTTGATAAATGCGTCTCTGCGTAACAATGCCTGTATGTTTATATCGATTATTCGCCATTTCTCCAGGGTTACCTGAACTGTGGAAGCCTATATTCCCTATATTCCCTACACCGGTCAGGCATAACGTTATGACCACCTCCTTGTTTCTGCACTCATTGTCCATTTTATCAGCTCCACTTACTATATAGGTGCACTTTGTAGTTCTACAGTTACAGACTGTAGTCCATCTGTTTCTCTGATACTTTGTTAGCCCCCTTTTACCCTGTTCTTCAGTGGTCAGGACCCCCATGGACCCTCACAGAGCAGGTACTATTTGGGTGGTGGATCATTCTCAGCCCTGCAGTAACACTGATGTGGTGGTGGTGTGTTAGTGTGTGTTGTGCTGGTATGAGTGGATCAGACACAGCAGTGCCGCTGGAGTTTTTAAACACTGTCCACTCACTGTCCACTCTATTAGACACTCCTACCTTGTCAGTCCACCTTGTAGATGTAAAGTCAGAGACGATAGCTCATCTGCTGCTGCACAGTTTGTGTTGGTCATCCTCTAGTCCTTCATCAGTGGTCACAGGACGCTGCCCACAGGACGCTGTTGGCTGGATATTTTTGGTTGGTGGACTATTCTCAGTCCAGCAGTGACACTGAGGTCTTTAAAAACTCCAGCTGCACTGCTGAGTCTGATCCACTCAGACCAGCACAACACACACTAACACACCACCACCACGTCAGTGTTACTGCAGTGCTGAGAATGATCCACCACCCAAATAGTACCTGCTCTGTGAGGGTCCATGGGGGTCCTGACCACTGAAGAACAGGGTAAAAGGGGGCCAACAAAGTATGCAGAGAAACAGATGGACTACAGTCTGTAACTGTAGAACTACAAAGTGCACCTATATAGTAAGTGGAGCTGATAAAATGGACAATGAGTGTATATATATATATATATATATATATATATATATATATATATATATATATATATATATATAATGTGTGTATATATGTATGTATGTAGAACTATTTTCAAAAAAGTTCCATATAGAACCATGTACAACACATTCTCCGTCAATCCCAAGAACGATTTTAGCATGCAAAGAACCAGCTTAAAATGGTTCTATATAGAACCCATGGTTCTAGATATAACATACCCTTTACTAAAGAACCCTTGAAGATCCATCTTTTTTTAAGAGTGTAGCTAAATATTCTATAATATGTACAAGCAGTCACTGCGCATTATCTAGAGCACAAGTGCACATGAACATACGTACATACTGCTGTAACATTCTAGAACGCAAGCACGTATAGCTAAACGTTCTAGAGTATAAGTGTGCACCTGCTAAACGTTGGAGAAAACAAGCATGCACTGCACTCTTAAAAAGATGGTTCTTAAAGGGTTCTTTAGGGTTCAAGGGTTAGATAACGGTTTTATATAGAACAGTGAACACTTAAAGAACCATTTGCATGCTTAAATGGTTCTCTGCATGGTGAAATGTTCTTCAGACTAATGGAAAATGTGTTGTTTATGGCTTTTCTACTTGTACAAGCTTGACATTATAACTATAGCAGAACCCATTTTTAGAGCTTCGTAGAACTGTTTTCAAAAAGGTTCCATATAGAACCACATACAACATATTCTCAATCAATCTGAAGAACGATTTCACCATGTGAAGAACCATTTAAACTTGAAATGGTTGTATATAGTTCTAGATATAACATCTAGAACTAAATATCTAAAGTTTGTCATTTGTCAAAGGCCTTAAAACAGAACATGATGGCGATTTTGTATACATTGTAGTCGTGTGCACAATTTTGGGCGCCCCTGGTCAAACTACATGCTTTATTGATTTTTCTGATTTTTTGATTGATTGATTGATTGATTGAAGTGTAAATAAGTGAACACATCATCAGTAAGAGTACACACTTTGCACATTTTAGTGCACAGTTATTGTTTATTTACCAAATACAGCATATTTTGGGGGAAAAATATATATATATATATAAAATGTGCAAACGTTTTTGATGTTTTATTTTTTCCCACCACATGAAACTTTTTGTGAACCAAAATTTGCAGAAAAATGTCAAAAGTTTATTCTTAATGACCTTAATGACCTGATTCTTAATGTCATTTGACCAGGTGGTGTTCAAACTTTTGCATATGACTGTGTGCTTATTTATAACCTGCTGGTGCAGGGGCTGTGCTCCAATACACACACTTGTGTTACAGAATGTTTAGCTAGTGCTTACTTGTGTTCTAGAAGTTCTAGAATGCCTAGGTGCATCTTTGCTCTAGAAAGCTTAGACACTGCATGTTTACATTCTAGAAAGCTTAGATACTGCATGTTTATGTTCTAGAATGCTTAAATACTACAATGTTTATGTTCTAGAAAGCTTAGATACTGCAGGTCTATGTTCTAGAAAGCCTAGGTACTGCATGTGTATGTTCTAGCAAGTTTAGATACTGCATGTTTATGTTCTAGAAAGCTCATGTACTGCATGTTTATGTTCTAGAAAGCCTAGACACTGCATGTTTATTTTCTAGAATGCTTAGATACTGCAGGTTTATGTTGTAGAAAGCTTAGGTACTGCATGTATATGTTCTAGAAAGCTTAGATACTGCAGGTTTATGTTCTAGAAAGCCTAGGTACTGCATGTATATGTTCTAGAAAGCTTAGATACTGCATGTTTATGTTCTAGAAAGCTTAGATACTGCAGGTTTATGTTCTAGAAAGCCTAGGTACTGCATGTATATGTTCTAGAAAGCTTAGATACTGCAGGTTTATGTTCTAGAAAGCTTAGATACTGTATGCTTGCATAGATACTGCAGAATGTTTCACTGGCTAGTCCCCCTACACCTTTAAAAACAAGGCTTTTCAAGGGATCTTTAGTAAAGAAAGTTCCCCCTCAGTCTGAAGAACGCTTTCAGGGTGCAAAGAATCGTTTAATCATGCAAAGGGTTCTTTGACTGCTCATGGTTTTATGTAGAATCCTTTTCTTTACTAAAGAACCTTTGAAGATCTATCGTTTTTAAGAGTGCACCTAGCAAACTGATTTTACTAAATATGATGTAGGGAGCTTGGGAGCACCTAATCCAGCATCTTATTATTATTTTTTTCCCCGGTAAATGAATTGCTATGCTATTATTTTGAGATACGGAGTCATTATTTTTAAGTCATTATTTTGAAATGCCTATATAAGTGAGAAATAAAGTAACGAGAAGGTATGTCAAAATACTGAGATGGTTATTCAAAATAACGACTTATCATCTCAAAATAATTACTTAGTATCTCAAAATAATGCGATAGTTTCTCTAAGTAATGACTTAGTATCGCATTTTAATGGCACAGCCGTTCACCTAATAAAAAAAAATAAGGGTGGTAGATTTTTGAGAGGGACTTAAATTACGTAAACAATTTCGCACACACGCTTCTAATCACATCCCGACCTGAGAGCGGCAGTGGCGTTCAGTTCAGCGTGCAGCCTCAATGGGAAGTGAAGTCTTTTGTGTCCTGGGCGCTGATCGCGGCTGCGTTCCATTATGCGCACTCGTGTCCTACCTAGGACGCCTAGCCGGCCGTAAGAACGCCCGGGCGTTTAGAGTTCTATAGATAACACAGGTGCGCGTATTGGAACACAGCCTGGCTCTCGTGTGGCGCGCATGGAAACGGCATCAGGACGGAGTGAAACAGTGGGACTGTGGCGGTTTGACGGTTAAATTCAGTTTAGTGAAGGCTGTTCTCGTCGCCGAAAGCTGCTAACCTGCTAACCTCCGTGTCTGACAGCTGTGCCGCGCGGCCCGGAGCTGGAATTTACGTTTCCCGTAGCTTAGCTAGCCAAATTAGCCAGCTTTGGGAGAATAAACAGGTCAGCGCAGCGGAAAAGCACCGCCAGCCCGCAGAGGTTGTGGTGGTTTTCGTCTCAGGGAGTCGGTTTAATACGTTTGGACGCCATGGTTCTGTTAAAAAGTTCGCCGCCTCCTAACGAGGGTGTTCGGCACCAGCAGGCCGAGACAGCAGCGGTTCTAGACGGGAAGGAACTCGGAACAGGAACCCTCTACGTCGCCGAATCGTGAGTGACTTCATTCATAACCTGCTGGTAACCGTTAGCTGGTTAGCTTAGCTATAGGGCCCGCGTTATCTCCAGTACGCGCACTTGTGTTCTAGAATATTTAGCTAGTGCGTACGTGTGTTCTAGAACGTTATGGTAGCGCGTACGTGTGTTCTAGACGCTCCAGGACGTCTAGCTCGTGGGCTCTAGAATGGTTAGCAACTGCATGTTCATGTCGTAGGATGCTTAGCTAACGTTACTCTTACAAAAGATGGTTCTTCAAGGGTTCTTTAGAGAAGGGAATCGTTCTATTTAGAACTATTTCTGGACATATAAAACCGTTTGCGTGCTTTAATGGTTCTTTGCATGGGGAAATCGTTCTTCAGATTGATTGAGAATATGTTAATATGTTGTAAGTGGTTCTGTATGGAACCTTTTTGAAAACGGTTCTAGCTATATCGCACTAGAAAAGGGGTGCTGCTATAGTTACGATGTCAAGCTTGTACCAGTAGAAGAGCCATAAACAGCACGTTTTTCATCAGCCTGAAGAACATTTCACCATGCTGAGAACCGTTTAAGCATGCATGGTTCTTTAAGTGCGCATTGTTCTATATAGAACTATTAGCTAGCTATCTAACCCTTGGACCCTAAAGAACCCTTTAAGAACCATCTTTTTAAGAGTGCAGTGCATGCTTGAACTCTAGAACGTTTAGCAAGTGCGCATTTATACTCTAGAACGTTTAGCTAGTGCGTGCTTGTGTTCTAGAATGTTACAGCAGTATGTACGTATGTTCATGTGCCCCTGTGCTCTAGATAATGTGTAGCGACTGCTTGTACATATTATAGAATACTTAACTGCACTCTTAAAAAAGATGGATCTTTAAAGGTTCTTTAGTAAAGGGAATAATATCTAGAACCATGGGTTCTATATAGAACCATTTCAGGTTGGTTCTTTGCATGCTGATATTGTTCTTGGGGTTGATGGAGAATGTGTTGTATATGGTTCTATATGGAACCTTTTTGAAAATAGTTCTATATGCCACTAAAAAGAGGTTCTGCTATTATTACGATATCTTGAACCAATAGAAGAGTGCTTTTTGGTGCTTTGTAGAACCATTTTCAAAATGTTTTATATAGAACCTTAAACAACACATTCTCCATCAGTCTGAAGAACAATTTCACCATGCAAAGAACCATTTAATCATGCAAATGGTTCTTTGAGTGTTCATGGTTCTGTATAAAATCATTATCTAACCTTTGAACCCTAAACAACCCTTGAAGAACCATATTTTTTTTAAAGAGTGTAGAGCATACTTGTGCTCTGGAACATTTAGCTAGTGCACATTTGCAGTCTTGAACATTTTGCTAGTGCATACTTGCGTTCTAGAACATTGCAGTACTACATGTGTGTTCTAGACATTTCAGCATGCCTAGCTCATGCACACTTGTGCTCTAGAGAATGCTTTGCAACTGCTTGTTTGTATTGTAGTAAACTCAGCTAACTGCACTCTTAAAAATGTGGTTCTTTAAGGGTTCTTTTGTAAAGTAAATGTTAGCTCTAGAACCATGAGTTGAGTTGAGATAGAACCATTTCAGGCTGGTTCTTTGCACGCTAAAATCGTTCTTCAGATTTGTGGGAAATGTGTTGTGTATGGTTCTATGTGGAACCTTTTTCAAAATGGTTCTGTACAGCACTAAAAAGGGGTTCTGCTATTATTACGGTGTCAAGTTTGTACCAGTAGAATGCTTTTTGGTGCTGTATAGAACCATTTTGAAAAAGGTTCTACATAGACCCAAAACAACACATTCTCCATCAGTCTGAAGAACAGTTTCACCATGCAAAGAACCATTTAATCATGCAGATGGTTCTTTGAGTGTTCATGGTTCTGTATAAAACCATTATCTAACCCTTGAACCCTAAAGCACCGTTGAAGAATTGTCTTTTTTAAGAATGTAGTGCATGCTTATGCTCTAACATTTAGCTAGTGCGTACTTGTGTTCTAGAGCATTATGGTAGGACGTACGTGTTCTAGAGCATTATGGTAGGACGTACGTGTTCTAGAGCATTACGGTAGGACGTACATGTTCTAGACATTCCAGCACGCCTAACTCATGTGCGCTAGTGCCCTAGAGAATGCTTAGTAACTGCTTGTTCATATTGTAGAATACTCAGCCTTAGTAAAGGAAATGTTATATCTAGAACTGTGAGTACTATATACAACCATTTCAAGCTTAAATGGTTCTTTGCATGGTGAAGTCTTCAGATTGATGGAGAATGTGTTTATGGTTCTGTATAAAACCTTTTAAAAAAAATAGTTCTAACTTACGTAGCACTAAAAAGGGGTTCTGCTGTTACTATAGTGTTGTACCAATGAAGCTTGTACCAACAGAAGGACCCTTTTTGGTGCTATATAGAACCATTTTGAAAAGGTTTCTGTATAGAACCATAAACAACACATTCTCCATTATTCTGAAGTACTATTTTACCATATGAAGAACCATTAAATCATGCAAATGCTTCTATAACCCTTGAAGAACCATCCTTTTTTAAGAGTATAGTGCATGCTTGCCCTCTAGAATGCTTAGCCTGTGCGTGCTTATGTTTTAGAACGTTAATGTAGTATGTACGTGTGTTCTAGACGTTCCAGAACACCTAACTAGTGTGCACTTGTGCCCTAGAGTGCTTAGATACTGCATGTTTCTATTGTAGAATGCTTAGCTAGTAGAGGTGGCTGATATGGGAGAAATGTCATATCACGATACCTTAAACGATATTTATTTTTCTGACATCTGATATTATTTATTTAATGATTTGTTGTTAAGACACTTAAAGGCTTAATGTTCTGCCAGTTTGTGCTTGGCTCATTTTTTTTTGCATGGGAGTTTATATATTACACAAGTACACTAATTGGAACACAGCCGGTGTGCCTACACTGTAAAAAGTGGCTCGTCAGATCTTCTTTAAAAAATTACTTCATGCAGTAACAAGCAATAGAACTAGTTTTATTCAACTCAAAAAATTACTTTGATTGAAAGAATCGTTCATTCAAAGTATTTATTTAGGTTGAATGAAACTAGTTAATTTACTTGTTACCACATGAAGTCATTTTTGAGCCACTTTTTACAGTGTAAGTTCTTTCAGCTGTTGTCTCCCTGTATGAGCACCCGTCTCTAATAGTGCTGGGCGATATGGCCCCAAATCAATATCACGATTAATTTAGTGCTTTACCTCGATTACGATTAATGAACGATTATTTTGATTTCGTTTTTTTTTTTTTTGGTTTGTTTTTTGGCCTCATAGTTCACTGACAAGGTTTGTACTGTAAATATTCTCTGCATATCTTAATGTAAATCGTCTCAACAGCCAGATCGGAATTCACGTTGCTTTTACGTCAGTCCAACTCGACATTTGTCATAATTTGGTGCTGCTGAGACTCATAAACATTTGGGGTGATTTTTCTGTACAAAAATCAGAAGAGACTACTCGAGACCATTCGAGATTTTTAAAAGAAATGTCCGAACGCAGCCGTAGGAGAACGAGGCTGCAGCGTCAAAGAACGGTTAAAAGTCTGATAGCAGATTTTAAAGAATCTGAGGACGTGAACCAAAGAAGTGACCGCGCCCTTTTTACGGCTCGAACACATTCCGGGTGATCAGCCCAGCTGTCAGTCAGTGAAGCTTCATGATGGCTCCTGTGATGCTGGTGAAGATGAAGCTGATCCTCCGGGGGCGACTGGCGCTCGTTGGCAGTTATGATTGTTTACCTCTGGATGAGCCGCGTGAAGCTCTGTTCTTTTGCGCATGCGAGTCAGTTTAGGAGCTGATCTGTTCAGACTGATGTCGCATACAGATCACATTTAAAAGATAATCTGAACAGCCAAACAAATAAATCGGGTTTGTTGAGAAAATCACAACACAGCCTTAACTTCCATGGCACAGAGTGGACGTGGCGGAGTCACGTGACTACACACGTGCAGTATTAAGTTTAGGGGACAGTATATGAACACACAGAGTGGGGAAATGATTAACCGAATTTAAAAAAATCGAAATAACCGACATTGGCAAGATTACGTCGGTTAGAGGTTCTGCATGTCGGTTTCGATTAATCGGCCAGCCCTAGTCTCTAATGCTTTAAACATAGGTCAACAGTGTTTCCTCTGTTTATTTTGGGTGCGCTGTGTGTTCCTAGGAGTGATAGCTGAACTATTTATTTTGTCTTTTAAAACACATTAAACTATAACCAAACGGTATCCTGTCTTCTCAGCCGTCTGTCTTGGTTCAATGGGTCAGGGATGGGCTTTTCGCTGGAGTACCCCTCCATCAGCCTCCACGCAATCTCTCGAGACCTAAGCGCTTACCCTCGAGAGCACCTGTACGTGATGGTCAACAAAAAGCTTGATGGTAAGTTGTTTTAGACCTTCTAAGCCTTTAGATCTATGTACAAAATGCCCGATTTTGCAGGTAAGGAATGAATTACGTTGTGAATATTCTATTAAATATCAGTATGAAGACAATAAATAGCCTAAATTTTAATGCGTTTTTCAGTCATGGCTGAGCTTCGGCCACAGTAGACCTTTAAATCATGCTAAGCATCTTTGTGATTTGCTCAAAGTTCTCTCTTCGGTCTCTGCGTGTTAAAGCCATAGCTTAACTGAAATTACTGTGATTGCAGATGAAAACGAAGCTGAGATGCAGGAGCGAGCTCCAGATGATGAAGAAGAGAGTGACGATGACAGCGAAGATGGGGTCATCACAGAGGTCCGATTTGTTCCCGGTGATAAAGCAGCTTGTAAGTGTGTGGTTAACTGCTCACTTCATTTAAAACATTTTAGAGATGATCAAACCGTTTGCACATCACTTTCTGCAGAGCTGCACAATGTGGACCAAGTGTGTTATGACTGTGATGTAGCATGTTGCAATTTGCAGTGTACATTCAGAAATAATAATGCACTTTAATGAGCATATCTTTAAATGAGACTTAAGATGATGTAGACAAAAATATGCATTTATCAGTTCGCATGAATGCTCAGATAATTCAGCACATGATTTCTCTAGAGTACTTGGATGCCATACGTGTAGGCCTTTAAAGTTTCTCACATATATATATATATATATGTGTGTGTGTGTATGTATGTATATGTGTATATATATGTGCATGTATATAAGTATGTGTATATATATGGTTCTTTGTATGGTGAAGTGGTTCTTCAGATTGATGGACAATGTGTTTATGTACTTTTTGAAAATAGTTCTACATAGCACTAAAAGAGCTTTTGCTGTAGTTATGATGTCAAACCAATAGAAGAACCCTTTTTGGTGCCATGTAGAACCACAAACCACACGTTCTCCATCAATCCGAAGAACAATGCCACCATGCAAAGATATATATATATATATATATATATATATATATATATGTTCATTCAAATGGTAACTTTACAGGGGAAGGCAAAAACATTCTTTACTTTTAACGTGAGTCAACGGAAGTTTTTTCCAATCAATTTTGGGTCATTTCCTTTGGTCCATTCATCATAAAATTTACACAAAAAGTTAAGAGCAACAGGCATTTTCTAATTATGTCAAAAAGTGAAAAAAAACAAACATGGTGATACAAGGTTTTGTTTCGACAGCAGCGAAATATAAGTAAGTTAATAATGATATATATTGTGTATTAATATAGCAGTTATTATCTCACTGTAAGCTGAGATTTTTCCACTGTGTGTTCTGTGTGTTGCAGTGGAGTCCATGTTTTCTGCCATGTGTGACTGCCAGGCTTTACACCCGGACCCAGAGGACGCAGAGTCAGACGATGATTTTGAAGGGGAGGAGTATGATGTGGAGGAGGCAGGTGAGGTGTAATCTCTCTCTTAACTGAGAGATTTGTGATGCTTTTAGGACATTTTTCCTCTAAGAGTCTTGGTTCCTCTTAGAGGTTCTTCTTCATGCTGTTTGAGAGGTGTTTATGCCAGTGGCAGAGGAAACGTTGCATGGGTAGATGGAAGAATGGATTCGACAAATTATTGCTAAACTCTGGAAGCAAATTAATACAGTCAGTCAAGAAACTGAAGATGAAAATAGACATCTGCCATTAACTACTTCAAGAAATACAAGCTGAAGCTTTTGAAATGGCCCTCTCAGTCCCATACATGAACATCACTGATAAGCCATGCGACCTTAATGTGACGCTGAGATCGGAATTCATGTGATTTTTTTTTTTTTTTTCCACTGCGTGTGCTCCATCATTCATCGTTACCATGGCAGCAGTGCCGACCAGAAGTTAAAGCCTGTAAACGGTGGAAAAGCAGCTCATCTCACCTTTTTCTCCTTCGTCTCGCTCTAATAATGAAGCTGAGAGCTGATCAGAGTTAATTATCTCAGCAGCGAAGCTCGTTCTGCTCGTTAGTTTGTGCTGATGATGAACGTGATTCACTCACGTGACGTTACTGAGTAGGATGTGCTCATGAGGGTCATTTCAGGACGCCGGTTCGTCACATTAATGACAGATTTGAATCACTTACCTAAACGAGTGTGAACCATCGTGTCAGAGAGATCGGATTTGAGCAAAAAATCAAATCGAGATATGAGGCTTGTAATGTGAACGTAGCTTAAGTGCTGGCGATAACTAAGGGTGTCCAAACTTTTGCCCTTAGCAGAATTACTGATTTTATTATTTATTTATTTATTTATTTATTTATTTTTTCAGTTTATCAAACATATAGTAACTGCAATAATATTTGCATAAAGATGTTATTTTTTTTTTTAAAAGGTTTGCTGCAGAGGTTGTGCTTACCTCTTTTCACTTCAAAACTCAATATAATATCTTATTTGGCCGGAAGGAGGGTGGGGGCAAACATACAACGGTACATATTAGGGGTCTGGACCCACATTTCTGGACAAGCTGCTTCGGCATAATGGCTGTTGTAAAAGTGCTACACAGATAAAATTGAATTGACTTGCATGTAATTGAATTGAATTGCTCACTGCTCTCCCTCCACTGTCTTGTCCAGAGCAAAGCCATGGAGATATACCCACATTTTACACCTATGAGGAGGGTTTATCACAGCTGACAGCTGAAGGCCAAGCCACCTTGGAGAGGCTGGAGGGGATGCTGGCCCAGTCTGTGGCCGAACAGTTCCACATGGCCGGGGTTAGGACTGATGAACCGTCGGCTGAATTTGAAGGTGAATGGCTGGGGAAAATGTAATGTAACAGCTGACTTTTACTTACCTCTGTTACCTTTTAATCAGCATTTTCAAAAACTATTTAATGTGTTCTAGACGTTGTGTGGAAATATCTGTAAATAGTGCAGCTCTACTCTTACTGCCCATCTGTCATAATCCAGATTATATAAATAGAATTATAATGAGTTGATTGGTTAAAAAAATCCATCTGAATTAGAACTACACCGCTGATGTGTATCAGTCGGCTGCACCAGTTTCCATGGTTATGCTACGCCAATTGGCATGGTTAAGGTACACCCATTTCTATGGTTATTCCACAGCCATTTTCATGGTTTTGATACATTCATTCCTTAGTTACAGTACACCAATTTGTATGGTTACATTACTCCCATTTCCATGGCTGCATCAGACACATTTTCATAGTTATGGTATGTACATTTTCATGGTTACACTACACCCGTTTACCGTGGTTATGCTACAGTGTATCCATGGTCACACTAGAAGTAATGAGTTGGGAGAAGATGCGCACCATGACTGGGCTGAATGCTGTTACAGTGAAGATGAAGAGGCAACAAAGGTTACTTAAGATATTCAAAACTATAGAACAGAATAAGAAGTAAAGAGAAAGTAATTTGATGAGAGGGCAGTGGTCGTAGTGTCCCCCGCACCTCTGAGACTGGAATCATGACCTTGTGTTTAAACATACTGAAGTGATGAGTGTGCTGGGATTAAATAATGCTGATCAACCACCAGGTGGCAGTAGCAGGCCAAAGGATGCCAGTCAGTAGAGAAAGTGTTGCACTGCTTCATGCTTAATGTGGGGAAGTACAAGACATTTTCATTTAGCTATAAGCAAAATTAGGCATTAGATCATCACCGCAACTTATTGCCATGTAAATAGTCTTCAGAAGGGAAAACGACTGTGATAACGCTTGGAAGAGTGACAGGCTGGATGTGTAAGTGTGATCCACAGTTAGGAGATAGAGGCATTTCAACCATTTTCTATTATACACTGATCAGGCATAACATTATGGCCACCTCCTTGTTTCTATGCTCATTGTCCATTTTATCAGCTCCACTTACTATATAGGTGCACTTTGTAGTTCTACAGTTACAGACTGTGGTCCATCTGTTTCTCTGCATACTTTGTTAGCCCCCTTTTACCCTGTTCTTCAGTGGTCCGGACCCCCATGGACCCTCACAGAGCAGGTACTATTTGGGTGGTGGATCATTCTCAGCACTGCAGTAACACTGACGTGGTGGTGGTGGTGGTGTGTTAGTGTGTGTTAGTGTGTGTTGTGCTGGTCTGAGTGGATCAGACACAGCAGTGCTGCTGGAGTTTTTAAACACTCACTGTCCACTCTATTAGACCCTCCTACCTTGGGCGTCCTGGCCACTGAAGAACAGGGTAAAAGGGGGCTTTGCATCTTTATCCCTGAAAACTGTCTGTATTTGCTCTTATTGATGACTAAAGAAGGATGACTTTCTCTTGTAATTTGTTCTTCCTGTCTGTTTGTTGTCCAGCCCAGTAGATCTATAATCAGTAGTCTTCTGAAAAGGTCAGCAGGCTGTATTTATGTGGTTTTGTGTTTTGTTTCTTCTTTCTGTCTCTCTCCAGACGGAATGGAAGTTGACCCAAATTCTGCAGAAGCTGGACAGTTTGACGATGCTGATGTTGATCACTGGTAATCACTCAGCTTTGAAAATATTTCAATACTTTGCTTTTTAATTAGTGCTAATTTTACAAGTGAATATGGGTCGTTCTCCATACCACAAAGTTTGCAGGGCTTTAAAAGATGCTTGAAATATTAGGCACAGGTACGAAAGTCGGTATGTACATTTTCACAGTTGACATAAGATGAAATAACACTTTTCCCTTACGATTCTCTGATTTTTCTTTTCTTTTTTATCCTGTTTCATAGTTGCTCTGCATCTGTAAAACAGCTCAGCACAAAACCAATTTTAAACATTTGAGAAACTATTATTAATATAAAACAGTATTTTTAAGAGGTTTAGCTTAGAATCTTTGCGTTTTATATCATTAACGTTATACTACATTTAAAAAAAATAAATTTTTCATTTGTCACAGAGATTTTGGTCACTGCTGTTATCAGGACTCTTATATTACATTTTAACACAGTATTTTCAGCTCTATTAAACTACTTCTTTGGGCCGAGGCTCATCAGAGAGGAAACGTCTCAAGGCCTGAGAAGGCGAGTCACACTCGCTCACTATATTTCATTCTTTTATTAATAATTTTGTTCATCAGGCAGCTCATAACTTCTATGTGTCACCGCTGTTATGAGCTTTAATGGCTGGGTAATTAAAATTTTGTTAAAATAATGCCATAAATCATTTTTATTACTAATTTACAAAATCCTCAGTTTTAACCTGAATGTCACTGAAGTCATCATGACTGGTGTTACACCATATTCACACAACACCAGTGACTGCAAAATATGTTTGGAATTAAGCTCCTTTTTGCATATATGATAGTAGATGATGTTAATGGACACATTAAGGTTATTTAGTTTTGGGATGAAAGAAATGTATTTTCTGAAAACATATCCACCTGAATTCCCACTCTAAATGGAGAATGACCCATATATGTCATAGGCAGTTACTGAGGAGTGGACAGTGAAGGTGTTTTGCAGTATGTAGCTATTATATTGCTTTTTTATTGTGATGTGCCTCGCAATATTTTAAAAACACATTCATAAATCAGTAAAGTGATGTTAAAGATGAGCCTTCATTATTTTGACCAAAATAATTTATTTATATGCATTACATAAACCTTGACTCATAAAAACACCTAAACAAGCTCATCTAGAACTGCGATGATCACAACACAGTTAAAAAAAGAAAAAAAGGTCCTTATTCATTAAAGTTGTGATCGTAAAATGAGTGCGTATTAATGCACTTAATAATCCGATCATAATCAGATTTCTGCAGTTATCCAGTTATTCAGATGGTCATGTAAACACCATACTCAGATCTAGAAATCTGATAAAGAGAGCTGGATTTTAGCTCAGTAATCAGATTTCTCAGTGCATGTAAACTCTTACTCTGATTTCTGTCGGATTTCTCAGTCTGAGCATGTGCAGAACAGACGGTGGATGTCATGAGATGCAGCAAAACACTGTTGGAGCGGCGCTGAAACCAAACACGAAATAAAGGATTTGAATATTCTTCATCTTCTAGATGATTTAAGTTCATATTTTTAGGTAAAGTTGTGCGATGTTTTAAAAAAAAAGCCGCGGTATGAAGTTTTACGTTATGTTTATGGCTGGTTGCAAAGCAGAAATCTGATTACTGTCTGACTCATGTAGACCTGGAGTTTCCCATTATCTGATTACTCAAGTGCATGTAAACGTGTTGATCAGATTACTGACAAAATCTGATTTTCTGCAGTTATCAGGTTATTGAGTGCATGTAAACACACTCACTGATAGTTTTGTTATTCATCAGTTTAATCTTTGCCTTATCTTTACAATTAAACTCGTCTGGTAGAAGTGTGTAAATTTGAGCGTAATAGTTTAATAACCTGTAAAAAATGCTTGATTTGCAGTTAAGAACAATAATATAAAATACATTAAACAATAATAATAATAATCTGTGCACATGGCAGTTCGGTAGATAAGTGGATGTACTTATTTTACATGCTCATTGGTATAAACAAACGCTGTAACTATTCCATGTTCCATTTAAAGACATTTTACTCTGTGCTTTTGTTTTATATTACTGACTCTGCCCACAAAATAAACAATGCAAATAACACACTCAGTGCAGACGCATCTCACACACTGCAGTAATACAGCAGTTAAATATGTTATCTCAGGAAAATAATAATCATGGTGCCGCCTTAAAAAAGACATTTTGTTTATTTCACATTTTATTCTTTCCAGTTGTCGTAATTTTAACCCTATAAAGTTTGGTCAATAGGGGGAGCAGTGCACTCTCTGATCAACCTCAAATCCGCCTCCAAGCACAGCCATTAGCTCACAGTTCGCTGGATCCTGTTGTCTTATTGGCTTCCTACAGAAACATCTGCATGAAAAGGGCTGCTATATGTAAATGATATGTAAATGAGTTGCTGGTAGGCTGGTGCTCATTTGTGTAGTAGTTCGTATGTCATTAAATGGCAGTAAAATCTGCTCTTTTTAACATAACTTTGTAGAATAAGGGTCACTCTTGATTGGTTAGAAGACTTATTTGCATATTGTTCTATGAGAGGTGCAATGGCCAATATCGCTATAACGATTACCAAACAGTACATTGTGCTGCCCTGTTAGATAGACGATAAGCACCTGTCAGAGTTGGATATCTTTGAGGTCAGAGGCGAATTATTTTAGCTGTGAATACAAAAAGGAATGTAGTTCCTCACCAGGAGTCTTAAGTGAACATTTTCGAGGCTTGGCCCACAGACGAATAAACATGAGTGTGTCCATAGCATAAGCCCCGCCCACTTTACCCTGATAAGATGCACCCAGATGCTTAGTTTTAATCATTGAGTGCGTTTACATGCACCTAATAATCTGATAACTGAAGAAAATCAGATATTTTCAGTGATCAATAAACGTGTTTACATGCACCTAATAATCCGATAACTGCAGAAAATCAGATTTTGTTAGTAATCTAATCGTGTTTACATGCATTTAGTAATCCAATAACTGCAGAAAATCAGATTTTGTCAGTAATCCGACCAGCGTGATTACATGCACTTGAGCAATCAGATAATGAGGAACCTCCTGGTCTACATGAGTCAGACAGTAATCAGATTTCTGCTTTGTTACCAGTCAATAAACCCACAGAATGACATAAACATAACATAAAACTCAAACTTCATGCTGCGGCTTTTTTTTTTTTTTAACACTTTTCCACTTTATCTGAAAATATGAACATACATCATCTAGAAGATGAAGAACATCTAAATCCTTCATTTCGTCAAGCATGTATTTGGTTTCAGTGTCGCTTCAAAAGTGTTTCGCTGCGTCTCGCGGCGACGCTGCTGCTTATTTCCGGTACCGCTGTCTGTTTTCACACGTGCTCAGACTGAGAAATCCGAAAGAAATCAGAGTAAGAGTTCACATGCACTGAGAAATCTGATTACTGAGCTAAAATCCAGCTCTCTTTATGGGATTTCTTAATCAGAATTTTTACAGGGTTTTTTTATGCTGTTTACATGACCATTTGAATAATCAGATAACTGCATTATGATTATGATCGGATTGAGTGCATGTAAACACACTGGTGATAAATGAGTCTGAGGAGCGCCTTTACATTTCCATGCACTGTATAACGTCAATTTTTTGATACTGTATTGAAATAAGGACCCATCTTGGTGATGTATTTAGATCTCGTGTCTGTATCTAACTGTACGTTGTGTTCCTGCAGATGGAGCGCAAGCCTCCGACACTAGCTGAAGCACTTCAGGGCCACAGAGTGATACTGACTCTGTTCACCAGGCTCTTCCGCACTGCCCTGTGCCCTCAGTGGAACTCTCTGGGCTGTTGTTTACCAAAGCCCACGTTTCCCCAGCTCTAATACACCATTTCTGTTTCTGATGTTGTGTTTTGTACTTAAGACCAAATTATATCAGTTCTCCAAAAGGAAGTGCTATTTGTATGAAATATTAGGAAATAAAATAGTTTTTGTACAAAGCATTTGTCCATAGTGTCTCAGTCTCCCCACAGAACAATATGTCCCTTTTGTGTGTTTTAAAGGCAACGATTATATATTGAAGCGTGACTCAGAGAACTTTGCGTGGTTAAATGGTTCTTCTCTGATACAGAAACTGCTGTATACGGTCCTTTAAAGAACCTTTGGTACTATATTCCTTTTTAAACTGGTTTCTGTTCCAAATGGGCTGCTTAGATCAGCACTGGCTAAAAATGCTCAGACTATTTTTAGGACCTGTGATATTGGGACAGAGATGATGACAGACTTTCTTGTAGATCCCCACTTTCTTCCTCAAGCTGCATTTTTCTGTTGATATCTTCTGATGTCCTGCTCTGAGGAAGACCCAGTGCAGTCACAACCTGTCAGTGTTTTGTTTTTTTCCTTTTATGCTTTGATGTTCCAAGTTTATTATAAAGGCATTTTTTGTATTTGCCTGCTCTGTGTGGTGCACTTGAGGTAAGCCTTTCTCAGCCTGGAGTACTTTGTTATTTTTGAGTGCTCAGTTTTCTTCTTTTTCCATTTCTTTTTCTTATGTAAAAATCCTTTAACTTTGGAGGTTTTCAGTGAGTCCAGTGTTCCTCAGGTGGTTTTTAGGGTCGGTCATGATTACTTGACGAAACCTGTTTACTAAATTAAACTAATAATTGATTAAAATGAATCTTGAAGAATATAAATTATAATTGGTGTGTGTGTGTATGTATGTATGTATGTGTGTGTATGTATGTGTATATATATATATATATATATATATATGCACACATATATATATATATATATATTCAAATTTTTCAGTTTTTGACATAATACCTGTTGCTGTCTACAATGTGTCAAAATTGAATGATTAATGAACCAAAAGAAATGGCTCAAAATGACAGTAAAAAGTCTGGTTCCATTGACTTACTTTAAAAGTAAAGTAGATTTTTTTTTCCTGTAACGTTACTATTTTCTTTATTTATATATATATATATATATATATATATATAATGTATATATGTGTTTATATATATATATATATATATATATAATGTATATATGTGTGTGTATATATATATATAATGTGTATATATGTATGTCTGTACATATATACTTACGTAAATGTGTGTGTGCTACAGCAGCAAAAGGATATTATGGCACTCGATAAAAGAAGTATCAGGAAGAGAATAAACAATCAAGGGATTAACCTTAATTACTTAACAAAGTTACGTTTTGTTACTTATCCTAAAGAAAAAAAATATATTTTTCACAAAAATTAACAATCTGAACAAAACTAAAAGAGCAAAAAGTCTACACTATAAGCATATTTTGCACGTACTACACATGGAATATTGCGCATGAAGTATTGATTATATTGCACATGGGTAAGGTGATGAATTCACAGTTTACTTTCTGTAGGTGTGTGAGGTCTAACGGCGGGGGGGGGTCGTTTCTACAGCTTAGTTTCCATATATGGACGTTTTGTAATGTTCATATATTTTTTTATTTAAAAATTCAGTTTTTCATTATCATTTTTAGGTATTTTAGAATCTATAAAAGCTTCTGCATGGTATGTTATTGTTCAGTTAGCTCTGTTTATTGTTTGGCCTTTTTTAAGAAAAAATGTGATTAATTAATCATCAAATTGGCAATTATTAATGTAATTGATAGACAGCGCTCTAGTAGTTTTATTGTGTTCCGTGTTTGTAAGTACATCATTTTTTAAAAAATTCCTGTGTAATTAAATGGTTAAGATGTAAACAGAGTCATTCAGAGAGGTTTGGTGTGAAACGCTCCGCTCTAGAGAAAGTTACTCAGTCAGAATTGTTCACAGTGGTGGTGATAGGAACCAGACGTCTAAGATTTGCTGGTGACTTAAATCCACTGCCTCTAAAATCTGTTCGAAAAAGTTTTTACGTAGATGAAATAGTTATGAGTACACTGCCTGATCCCTGAGAAACTGCAAAAAGTGGGATTAATTTAATTCCACAGATTAATCAGAAATGTACTACAGATGTCATGTAATTAAAATATTTCTCAGTGTTATCATGGTGATATTTACTACCATTTACTAAAATAAACCTGCCACACCCTCTCTAATCTCACTAATCATATATATATTTTTCTGTGTTTTGGATCGAAAGCTGGTCTGGCTAAAAAAGCATAAAATTGCATTGAATAAATTGTGTTTGCATTGATTTTCCAGACCCCTTTGCATTTAACCCCACCTATGGGGTAATTTGCAATATTTGAAGTAAATTTTCCTTCATCAAAATTATTCATAAAAGGTAGAGGCTTCAAACAAAGTTTACATTTTCATTTGTAGATGAGTAGACTGAATTTTTAAAATCTTAATCTTAATCGATACTTTTACATTTATTAAGTAAAAAATATTAAACCACATTTGCTGGTGACTTATTTGTTTCCATACAAGTCTAAAGGCTCTAAAGCCTTAATCCAAATCTTCTGAACGAGCTTTTAGTTGGCATGAGAAAGCCCTGGCACCTTAAATTTACTGATACCTTAAATCCACTGCCACCTTAAATTTACTGATACCTTAAATCCACTGCCACCTTAAATTTACTGATACCTTAAATTCCTCACTACCCTAAATACGCTGCTACCTTCAAACCACTGCTCCCTTAAAGCCACTGTTACCTTAAATCTACTACCTCCTTAAATTCTCTGCCACCTAAAATTTACTGATAACTTAAATCTACTGCCTCTTTAAATTCTCTGCCACCTTAAATTTACTGGTAACTTAAATCCACTGCCACCTTAAATTTACCGATGCCTTAAATTTGTTGATACCTTAAATTCATAGCTACCTTAAATACACTGCTACCTTAAAACCACTGCTCCCTTAAAGCCACTGTTAAATGAATTCCACTGCCTCCTTAAATTCTCTGCCACTTTAAATTTACTGATAGTAAATTTAGTCTGATGACTGTGCTGGCTCTGCGTGCTGGTGAGTATGCACTGACCGCAGATGCTGAAATAGTTGCGGTTCTCCAATCTGCTTGGGTGGTAGATGATGCTGTCTGACTTTTTGCCAGGATTATAACTGAAACCAACTGTGTTCCTACTGCATAGACAACAGAGAGAAAGAGGGAGAGAGGGACTGATTGAGTCTGTGATATTTCTGTTCCTGTGAAAGGATTACATCTAATTACAGATTACAGCAGGGATTGAAGACACAGGAGGGAAACCAGAAGTGATCAGTACGACTAAGCTTTGGATACTGTTGTGTTACGTATAGAAAGAGACTGATTTCAAAGAGACTGCATATCTTCACACTGATATCCATGTGTTTGATGACACTATTGAGATTAGGTATCCTTGGGGGGTACACTGTTATATATATATATATATATATATATATATATATATATATAGCCCCCTAAATGATCTCATTAGCATAATTTCCTTAATCACATTCTTAGTAAATCATGTCATGTGATAAGTCTCTCTAAACTGCTGTCAGTTCTTAAGGCCTTCACTGAGGAGCTGATTACAGCGCATGCTAAAAAGAGTGCTGTGTTAAATCTACACTCTTAAAAAAGCACTCTGTGATGGTGACGAATGTGGCAGAGAACAGCTGATAAATTGCGTAGAAACAGATGCGATACAGTCCGCGAATGTAACAAAGTGCACCTATATGGTAGGTGTATGTGATAAACTGGCTGGCTATGACCCTACTGACCCTAACCCTAACTGACCCTATTGTCAGGAGATCCTAAGTTTGATCCATGGTGATGCCGCAGTCATCTGTAAGTGGGAGTTAGCGATAATAACTGTCCTCTCTCTCTTTCTTTGGGTGGTTATGATAGACCTCCCTCTCCCGCAATCACTCAGCACTATCTGATGGAACAGAATCAGCCTTTAGTCTCCTCCAAGAATGTTGAGCTGTTCAGTGACGTTTAAGACGTGGTGGAGACTCACGCGCCTTCACCCTCCCAGCTTGGCAGCTTCGAGTTAGGAAGACCTCAAAAAGTCATAAGCTATTTAAAGCCGTTTCAGCGCTCAAGCACATCTGTTAGCTCTCAGCAGGTTAAAGGTCAACATTCCACAGGTTTGCACAATTTTTTGAGGCAGTTTTGGGGGCAGTCATGGGCTGGAGGTTAGGGAACCAGCCTTGTGACCGGAAGGTTGTCAGTTCGATCCCCTCGGCCAACAGTACGTGACTAAAGTGCCCTTGAGCAAGGCACCTAACCCCCAACTACTCCCCAGGTGCTGTGGATAGGGCTGCCCACCGCTCCGGGCAGGTGTGCTCACTGCCCCCTAGTGTGTGTGTTCACTAGTGTGCATGTATGTGGGTGTTTCACTGCACGGATGGGTCCTCTGTGTGCAAATGGTTCTGAATTCAATTCACAAACATAGCTGTGTTATGTTTTTTTTATTTGGTTTCCTCACCAACAAGTGAAGCAAAGCATCAGTTAGCACTGACATAATTACTTGCAGTAAAAGAAACTGGCACAACAAACTGTATATTGTATTTATTCCTTTATTGCAAGGTACAATATAATTAGAGATCCAGCCATGTGCAAAAATGTGGGCACCCCTGGTCAAATAACATTTTGTTGATTTTCTAAGTGAAAATAAGTGAAAACGTCCTCTGCGGAACACGCTGCTGCACATTTTCATACACAACTACTGTTTATCTGCTAAATTTAACATAATGGAGAAAAATAAAACAAAAAATGTGGCCTGTGCAAAAGTTATGGCACACTGAATATTTTTTATGTTAGATTTAAGCAAATAAGTAGAATTTATGCACTAAAATTGGCAAAAATGCTCTATTTGAGTTCCCTCTACAGAACATGTTACCTTACTTTGACTTAGAAAATCAACAAAACATGTCACTTGACTGGGGGTGATCAAACATTTGCATAAAACTGTATACTAAGAATAATACAGGTTTTACCAACTTGGTCTGACACACTGGAAAAAGCAGTGCATTGAATTTACTTGATTCAAATGTACATCATGCACATCCACATGAATAAAATATACAGTATCAGCACAACCATTGCCAAAAAATAAACTGAAAGACAAAACACTGTTGATGTCGTATTGTATTGATGCGGATATAATGTACATATTTGAATCAGGTCAATTAAATGCATCACTCCTTTCAGTGTATCTGAATGCCAGAGGTACAAGGAATGTGCTGTTCGTATACATTTATCAACACTGTCCTGGTTTAGAAATGCACTGCTGATGTGTGCTTTGTCTCATCCATGGCACAGATTGGACTCTAGGCTTTGTTTCCTGAGACACATTTTCTGTCTCTCTCTCTCTCTCTCTCTCTCTCAGTCCAAAGGCACCTAGTCTATTAACACTGTGCTTAAAGCTAACAGTCACTGTTATTTACATTACAGTTCATGCACAGCCTTCACATGCTGCTTCTTTTTCCAGGAATGTTGCACTGCATTGTTTAGATCACATTCCAGAAATTATCAGGTTTTTACTGACATACTGTAAATGTTAACCCTTAGAAGTCACAGTTATCACTGATGACAAAGGCACGCTTTACTTTTGTAATAAGTATTTCTGACTTGATGCTCATTGAAGTCACTGAAGAAATTGTGTGCAAAGCTCAGATTCTAAACTTTCAGTCCATATCATATTTGTGTTTGTAAGCTGAGGGGGAGATTTTTGGTAACAGTTTATTTGGAGTGGTCCTCTGTAGATGATTAATAAACTCAACAGATTATCAGTAACACATCAACAACATATCAGTGAAGTAGCAGCAGTGAAGCGTCTGAATACACTGAAGTAAAAATCTTGTAGATGTTCTGCGGATACATTACTTACATTAAGTAGATGAACTGTTAATAAGTTACTTACATTACGCAAAACCTAACCTTAACCCTGGCCCTAATCCTAATCCTAACCTTAACCTCAACCCAAAACCTAATCCTAATCCTAATCCTAACCTTAACCTCAACCTAAAACCTAATCCTAACCTTAACCCTCATGTATCTGACATGTTACTGAGAGTCTGTTGAAACACAGTCACCAGATGTTTTTATGATGATTTGAATTTGATCAAATGTGCTGTTGTGCACACAGTCTTCACATTAAATGCGTTTACATGCACTCAATAATCCAATTTCTGCAGTTATCCAATTATTCAAGTGGTCATGTAAACACCATACTCCAATCTAGAAATCCGATAAAGAGGCTGGATTTTAGCTCAGTCATCAGATTTCTCAGTGCATGTAAACTCTTACTCTGATTTCTTTCGGATTTCTTAGTCAGCGCATGAGTGCAACAGACGGTGGTACTGGAAATAAGCGAGCAGCGTCACCGCGAGACGCAGCAAAACACTTTTGGAGTGAAAGAACCAACTACATTATTGATAAAATGAGGGATTTAAATATTCTTCTTCTTCTAGATGATGTATGTTCATTTTTCAGGTAAAGTGGCGCCATGTTTGTTTTTTTTTTTAAACCATGGCATGAAGTTTGAGTTTTACATTACATTTACGTCTCGTCTTCTTCTGTGAGTTTACTGGCCAGTTTCAAAGCAGAAATCTGATTACTGTCTGACTCACATAGACCCGGAGTTTCCCCATTATCTGATTACTCAAGTGCATGTAAACATGTTGATTGGATTACTGACAAAATCTGACTTTCTGCAGTTATCAGATTATTAGGTGCATGTAAACACACTCAGTGTTTTTGTTGTTTCTTGACGTCGAAACAAATAGAACAAGTCAGTAGTTAAGATTCGAACCTGCCGATACAGAATGTAAAACAAACGTAAATGTACTTCATTACATTAATATGTAATTACATAATTACATCTAAATAGTGTAGCAAAATGACAGTAATATGTTTGACTTCTAAGGGTTAGGTTAAATATAACTGAGCAGAAGTTCCAGTTTAGGCTTCAAAGAGTATTTAAAAGAGTATTTGTGCCAGTAATGTCCAGCTTTTGTGTACTGTCTGCCTTAAGTAACATTACAGTCACCGGTAACACTCCACACTGTATGTAAGTAGCAGCCGATCAGCAGATGAATGCTGCTGAATATAGTGTACTTTGATTATTCTTTCACATCCTCCTATAAAACTGTTTGGTTAAGTTAAAAAACCTTAAGCGAGAGCTTTGAACCAGCCCTGTTTAACCCCTTAAGACTTATCATACTGTAACTACTATGAGCTGTGTAACTATAAGCTGTTTTTCTCTGTAGGAAACATGAACAGCATTGGAACGAAAATGGTCCCTCTCGGACCCTCTGTTAAACAACAATGTTCCAAAGTTGATGTTTGGGTCCCCCCCCACCATACATACATACATACATACAGGCTGCAAGCAAGCACCCCTGAACATTCACCTGACAGCACGATGTTACGCTGATGTAAGTGTACGTTTCTATAACACTAATGCAGCACTACATAAAAAAACACCAGCTGTTTTTGAAATAAAGCTTGCAGGTGTCACACCTCACCTAAACAACAGATGGCGCCAAAGCATCAGTACCTCTAGACCTTCCTAGGCGTGGCTTAGTTTAAACCCACCCCTGGATTCATTAACTCACGTGGGTCACCTGTGTCTTGTCTTGCTGGCTTTATAAGCCCTAGGAAGTTGGGAACTTCGTGCAGTCTGGAGGCCTCCTGTGTGCTGTATAGTGTCTCTGAGGTTTGCTTTGCTTTTTGTGGAGTATCCTAGTGTTTCAGTCACGTGATTTTTCTGCTGTGGCTGCCTTATTGGGGACCGAATTTCTGGATTTGCTGCTCCGCACGAATGTAACTAGAGGTGAAACACGGCTAAATTTACTCCTCTTACTCTGGAACAGAAAAAAGTTTCCTAAAATAGGCTGAGATCCTTATACAGTTTCCCCCTGAACTCCTGGTTCCCACTTAAACTGGCAGAAAAGTTACCAAATTTGTTTTCCTGACGTTTATATTTATCTCATACTCAGCCCCTCTCTCTATTCTGGAGTCTCTCAAAGCACTTAAAAGCACAGAAGCCCACCAGCTCTTCACGCCAGGGTGGGTAAAGGATCCAATGGTGCTGCATAAAGAGGAGAAAACACTCCGTCATCATAGGAGGGTAACGACATCAGCTAATTAACAGATGAGATCAATGCTGGCCTTTAGATAACTTTAGCTGATGTTAATAGCCGAGAGATGAACAGTCGCCCCCTAACGGAGCTGCAGACAGCCGGTATAACTTTACTCTCTGTTTCTGATTTAAATGAGGTTTGAATGGAGAAACATAAACGTTAAATATCAGACTGAATGTCGTGGGTCGGAAAACGACGTCGTGTTTCGACAGACGTGATTCTGTAAGTTTGCTAGTTCAGTTAGTTCAGAGTTCAGCTCCAGTCCTGAAACCCCTGCACTGCAGAACTGTGGTTTCCTGGTTAAAATACCTGATATTATTAGCTAATTAATCCCTTCTTGAGCTGAACGAGGTGTGAACAGCAGAGAGAGACACTAAACTATACAGTGCAGCGGCTCCAAGCCTGGAGTGAAAACACTGAATTAAAGGTCTGTGTGTCTCTCGTCTCTCGGCTTCTGTCGCGTCTTACAGGTGAATCATTCACAAAGCACAGCTAATTGAAGGCATCGCGACAGTGCAGTCACCCTGATTCGGTCCTCCAAATGGCAGCGACTATACAGTGGGACGTCACGCGAAACACGACAATACTTTTGTTCTCTTTGTGCTTTTGTGAGGTTTTGGAGTTCACCCTTCGAGGTGTTTCGCTCTGTTTTGCTCAAGAACCTCCACTGTGTCCTGGTCTGCTTTGTGCTCAGCTCTTTTGAAATGCTGTCAGCTGGTTTGCGTGGGGTGTTCATGTGAGGTTGCCAGTCTCAGTTAAATGTGCAGCAGCGCTGGCTTTCATGTAGCCAATTCAAATAACAGCGATATTTGGTAGAAAAGTTCTATCAGACAAAATGCATCAGCCTTAAAGTTCATCAGGGAACTAATAATGAAAAATAAAGACAAAATTCGACATACTTTAATAAATTAATAATTAAATAATGAGCTTTTTGAATTTCAAGAAAGTAAGTAAATATTTGGTGATAATAAGTCGAAGTACAGAGCCACTATTCTGAAATATATATTTTCGCCCATGATTTATTCTTCAGTTTCTGGCAGCCGTATGTCAAAATTTTGACTCAAGCATCTCAAAATGGTTCTTTGACTTATTATCACCAAATAATTACTTACTTTCTTTATATTCAACTTATTATAGTGTCAGAATTTTGTCAAGTAATTTTTTTCTTCTCTCTCTAGGAGACGTGAGCTTCCAAAATTAATGGATAACTATTATGAAACTAATGTGCAGGTTTTTAGGTTCTATGCAAGAGGAGTCGCAGTGAGGATCCAGATACAGACCAGAGTCTAAGGGGTTAAATCACACTGACAGCGTTGGGACAAAATAACACTGAAATGACCTTTCGGTGCTTATAAAATGTGCAACAGTAACCAGTATATAAGACTTCTTCACTGAAGAACTTCAGGGTTTCTTTTACAGGCCTCCAGTTTCATTTACTTCTCCTTCTTCTGCTCGATGGTGTCGGCCGTGCTCTTCACAGAAAGAGCCGGAATGACTTTATCAAACAGCAGGACTGAGGCTGCCATGCCTGTAAAGAAGAGAGAAACAGGACACAACCCTGAATAAACAGCTTCTGCTTCACTGCATCATGTAACAAGAGCAAATTCTCAAAGGCCTCGTTCCAATACTCTTTAACATGCCCTTGCCCGCTTCCACTCATCGCCCGGATATGTGCCACACCTACGTTACAGAAGTGGAGGAAGGGCTAGTAAGGAGAGGATTAGTGATGCATGACTGTACGTTTTTCGAGGCGACTCCCACTCGACTCCTCTGCCACTGGAATCAATAGATTCGACCCCTTGACTCCACTCAGCTGTTATCAAGACGGTCCCTTAGCTGGGCACACAAGGGGTTTCTACACATTAGGTTAAACCATTTTAAACATAGTTTGTCCAATTTTTGAGTGGCTACCGATTACGTGATCAAAATTTGTAAATTATATCAAGTCATTTTCAGGTAACTTAACAAATTACAACAGCTGACGAAGGTTTCAACACATCTTACAATCAGCCTCACCTTTCACAGAATGGGATGTACTGAGAAAATCATAACTGTAGTCACAATTATTTGGAATGGAACTGTTTTAAACTTATTTCATTGAAACTGAACCAAGTTTTTAGAGCAGCTGGATATTATCTCCTTCCTCTTTTCACAGGGCACTGTGTTAGCAAGCTTTCTATTGGACTTCCACCTTAAACAATGCAGCATTTACCTTAATGGTGCTTAAGCACCAGAATGTAACCTGCATTAAACATGCTTCTGCATGTACCTCAAGCCAATTACGATGAAAAAACAGACTTGACAGAGTTGACTTCAAGCATTTTGACTCTGATGCTAACTGGCATGCATAAACATTTGTTACTTTAGCTACATTAGCCTCTTAGATCCAGTGCAAAACAAAAGAAGCATATTTTGGATGGTTGATTAACTGCATTTGGGCTAAAGGCGGGTGAACTGTGTACATTACAGATAAACACTAGCAGTCTGGGTAAGTATCTCACCGAGTAGTGGCCCCATCCAGTACACCAAGCTGTACTCCGCAAACGTGCCGCCGGTGCAGGGAAACTGTGTTGAAAACGCCAGCGCTGGGTTGAATACTGCCCCTGTTGTGCTTCCCCCTAAACAGAAACACAAGTCTGATTGAAATAATGAGAAACAGAAGGTTTCAGAGACGACTGCCAACGTTCTGTCTACGGAACCAAGAGAGCAAAGCAGTGGATCATCCGGCTCTGGGATTAAACAGCATGAAGTAGGAAACACCAGACACATTCTCTCCTCTACCAAGACTACAGTATCTGAGTATCATGATGAGTAATACAGTTACTTGACTGTAAGAGTTTGATTGCTATAGCATAAATTAGGGCTGAACAAAAAAGAACTGTAGTAAGAAACTATAGAATTTCTATAATACTGTAATAACTATCAGTAAGAAACTATAGCATTTCAATAATGCTGTAATAACTGTATCAGTAAGAAACTATAGCATTTCTATAATGCTTTTAATAACAGTATCAGTAAGAAACTATAGTATTTCTATAATGCTGTAATAACTATCAGTAAGAAACTATAGCATTTCTATAATGCTGTAATAACTGTATCAGTAAGAAACTATTGCATTTCTATAATGCTGCAATAACTGTATCAGTAAGAAACTATAGCATTTCTATAATGCTGTAATAACTGTATCAGTAAGAAACTATAGCATTTCTATAATGCTGAAATAACTGTATCAGTAAGAAACTATAGCATTTCTATAATGCTGCAATAACTGTATCAGTAAGAAACTATTGCATTTTTATAACGCTGTAATAACTGTATCAGTAAGAAGCTATAGCGTTTCTATATTGCTGTAATAACTATCAGTAAGAAACTATAGCATTTCTTTAATGCTGCAATACCTTTAGCATAATATTATATAATAACAATAAAATAATATGGACCTAATAATAATTTCATTTCCTTAAAAGTTTGAACACTCCCAGTTAAATTACATGTTTTGTTTTGAGTAACTCAAGTGTAAATAAGTCGACTCTTCACTTCTGCACGTGTTAATGCATTTAATGCATCACTGTTTATTGGCTGAATTTAACATACTGGGGTAAAAACAAAACATAAAATGAGGCATGTACCAAAGTTATGGCACACATTTTATTATTATTTTTTTTTGCTTTATTTTTTCTTACTTGTTAAACTCAAAAAAGCAAATAATTAGAAATTGACCACTAAAATGATCATAAACATGTCATATTTAAGTGTGTTCTCTGTAGAGGACGTGTTAACTTATTTACACTTAGAAAATCTACAAAACGTGTCATTTAAATGCGAGTGTTCAAACTTTTGCACACTACTGTATTGTTTGTTAATCATAATCGCAATGCTGGCCTGAAAGCACTGTGCAAAAAGGTTCTGAAACACTGTGTGTTGTAAGTAGAGCTGGAAAATATGACAATATTTATCATTATTGTGATAAATCACGGTATGCCACAATATACTTTTGTGGACATTGTGGATCTCGTCAGTCCTTAAAAACCCTTCCCCACTGCACATCTGATTAAAAAGAGAGCATAATTAGTCCTGTAATTGGATTTAGTGGATTTAGTGCAGTACAGTGTGTGACAAGTAATTGGATCAATAGTTTTGATCGCATTTCGACAGCATTTGATAGTATCGCGATATTACACTTTGCCATACCGCCCACCTCTAGCTGTAAGCATCCAGACCAATCACAGATGAGTTTAGTACAGCTTTAGTAGAGGTATGTGATTTGGGACGCAGCCCCAGCACATCTACTCTCCCTTCACTTTCGCTCCCTACGTAGGGGCCCCGATTTGTGACGAAACCAACCACGAACCTGCATAGACCGCCGAGGTGATCACGGCCGCCACCGCGTGCACTCTGTACTTCTCCTGCAGGCTGCGCGTGCACGAGCCGGCGGCGTGCACGACGAAGGCGCACGCCATTTCCACGGCCGCGGCCTCAAGCAGGGGCGCGTGCCCGATGGGACTCGAGCACCGGAAGGCGGACGCTCGGTGCCGCGCGTGCAGATCCGATAACCCGCGCGCCCACATGTGGCGCACGGCGGCGCGAGCCGCGACGGCCGCCGCGAACTGGCACGCCACGCGTGCCGTCAGAGCCGCCACGCGCGCGCCCGCGCTCAGCCCACCGCCGCGCTCGCGGAGGAAGCGCTCGCACGCGCCTGACGGGTTGCAGGTCGCGCCGCAGGACGTGAGCGCGTGCACCACCGACGTGCCGTACGTGAGCGCGAGCGCGAGGAGCGGCGGCCGCTGCGAGACCCCGGCGTCGCCCAGCAGCTTGAGCTCGTGCGTGCACGCGCACAGCTGCAGCGTGGAGATGAGCTCGGCCGCGCACGCGCCGTAAACGCCGCGCGACAGCAGCCTCGCGCTTGCCCGCCTCGCGACCTCGCACGCGAGAACTATACCCGCGAGCACGAGCAGAGAGACGACGAGATCCGCCATCCCGACTCCCGGAGTCCCGTCGCTTCTCCGGCTCTTCTTCCAGAGCCCGGGCACGCTGGATGGAAGCGCTGGCTAGTTTTTCTCCGCCTGTATTCCGACAAGCCCCGCCCTCCTGTGCTGAGATTGGCTAGCGCCAGCTCACACTCACACTCAGAACGCTGATTGGACGCTTAGGACGTTCGTCTCGTCACCATAACAACCATCGAACGCAGGGAAGCTCACAGCTACTCACACAAAAAGATGTTTCTTCGAGGGTTCTTTAGTAAAGGTTCTATTAAGAACCGTGAGTTCTGGGTAGAACCATTTTATGCTTGAATGGCTCTTTACATGGCGAAATGTTTCTTCAGACTGATGTTATATATGGTTCTGAATAGAACCTTTTCGAAAATGATTCTGTGTAGTACCAGGAAGGGTTCTTCTATTGTTCCAAGCATGATATTGCAGAACTTTTTTGATGCTACATAGAACAAATTTCAAAAAGCTTCTTTATAGAACCATATGCAACACGTTCTCCATCAATCTGAAGAACCATTGAACATGCAGATGGTTCTATATATAACTCATGGTTCTAAATAGAACCATTCCACTTACTAAAGAACGGTTTTTTTGGAAACTGACCCTCCTTTTTAAGAATGTGTGCTAATATTTCCACTACTAATACTTTTAAAAGTCTTCTTTTAGGCGCTTTCTGACTGAAAGTACTACATGTGGACATTGTATTAGAAAACTAACATGATTATTAATAAACTGCCACACTGTTGAGAAGTCATTCCAGTTACCATAGTAACCGTAGAGCACCAGCGAGTTTACATTAAAGGGCCCATATCCGACCTTTTTATCTCGTATCTTTCCCCTCTGAGGTCCACTAACGAGGTTTGTGTTGGTTTTTGTGCCAAAAATAGTCATAATTTATTTTTTACATGACCGTTTTCCATCCTCGCTTCGTCCCAATAAATTAAACAAACAGCTTTTGTTACTGTCCCCTTAAGAATAAGATATGTAAATGATCTCTGTTCTCTGATTGGGTGTCCTGTAAATATAAAATAATATATATTTAAAAAAAACAACAACAATAAACAAAATATAAACAATTTTTTTCGGTCAGTACTCTTGAGTCATGGTCAACTCATAGCCAATCACAGCGCAGGAGGCGGGACTTGTCCGAATACGGGTGGAAAAACTTCCAACAACTTTGCCTTTTAGTCGAAAATGCTGTGTGGAGCATTAATCTCTGAAATGGCTGCCGGATATAACAAATAATCCAGATATATAGGAGGTTTATACAAATCAGACTCAATATAATCGTGTTTTTGTGTTTGAAGAAACATTTACCATACAAACCCGACTAGTGTTTATCGATGTTAGCCACTTAGCTGGCTAACAGTCGACACGGTTTCCCCTCCTAAACATTTCAGTTGAGACGCTGAACATTTAAGATATTTCGGTTTTTGTTAAAGCTAGAACTGAATAACAGGTGTAAGTAACGTCTTAGACGTCGTGTTCGTGCTTTTAAGCAGCAAATACAATTTTGTCTTCAGTCAAGTAGAACCACAGCCCCATTATTCAGTCTATTTAGGCTCTAAAAGGGGAATTCCACCGAATTTTCAAACAAAATTCTACCTAATTCGACAGTTTAAAAACAGTCATTCAGAGTGGTTTGATTTGAAATGCTCCGTTTTAGAGAAACTTAAGTCAGAATTGTTCACAGTGGTGGTGATAGGAACCAGACGTCTGAAGAGTTCATTGCCTCTAAAAGCCCCCTCACAGAAAGTTATTACATGAAGTAGTTGTGAATATGCTCTTAGATGTCTGAGACAGTTTTATGATATTTTAAAGAAGATTCTGGCCTGAAATGTCTTTTAAAAGCTTGTGATGGCGATGGAGAGTTACCTGTAGGCCGTTGTGAGGCAATACAAAGAAAATATTTTTCAGATTTTCCACTGTTTTACCATCATCAACATTCCATGTAAAAACTTAGAAGACAAATGTATGTCCACTGGTGGTTTTGGATCGTTTTAAGCATGAAATGGTTCTATATAAATCTATGCAGACCTCATAATTCTAAATGGAATCATTCCCTTCACTGAACCCTTAAAGGACCGTGCAATACCTCCGTTGTCCTCGGGGTGTCGCCAAAACACTGACTAATAGGCCTCTGTGTTTTTCCAGTTAATAGGCAGGTGTGGCTGTCTGAGTCCAGCTCGCTCAGCAAGCTGTTAATCTCAAGAGAAATCAATCAGTTCAGCATTGCAGCATTACATCCACCACCAACAATGGAAAGAGTAACGTTTACCCCGCACAGTGTCCACTCTGATTAACATTATTTACTGCATTTTGTTTTCTGAAGGGCGAATGTCCTGCAGGGCTGAACGATATATCAGGTTCGTTATCGTGATACTGACCCTTACGATACTGATATCCAGTATGCAAACCAGACCTCCAGTGAATCATTCATCTATTTACTGTGTGCTGTGGTAACTTTCTGTGGGTGTTTTGATGAATCAAGGTGTTCATGTGGTCCAGCAAATAATACCTGATGTTAACCAGCAATAGTTTTTACCCAAATTGTTCATTAATAAGATTAAAATATTTTCTGCTGGAAATAAATGAGGCCTCACCAACGTGCTTTTAATATCTATATACTAATATATTAACCACACTCTTAAAACAGAAGGGTACTTTAGTAGAGACAATGGTTCTATATAGAACCATGAGAGCTCAAAGAACCATTTACATGCTTAAATGGCTCTTTGCATGGTGAAATATTTCTTCAGATTGATGTTTTATATGGTTGTATATAGAACCTTGTTGAAAATGGTTCTATATAGCAACAAAAAATGGGTTTTGGTATTGTTACGATGTAAAGCTTGTACACAATAGAAGAACCCCATTTGGTGCTATAGAGAAGTTTTTTAAAAAAGGTTCTATATAGAACCATGAACACTCAAAGAACATTTTGCATGCGTAAATGGTTCTTTGCATGGTGGAATGGTTCTTCAGATTGGTGTTGTCTATGGTTCTATGTTGCACCAAAATGGTTCTGGTATTGTTACCATGTCAAGCTTATGGTGCTAAACAGAACCATTTTCAAAAAGGTTCTATATAGAACCATGAACACTCAAAGAACCATTTGTGTGCGTAAATGGTTCCTTGCATGGTGAAATGGTTCTTCAGATTGATGTTGTCTATGGTTCTATGTCGCACCAAAAAAGGGTTCTGGTATTGTTACGATGTCAAGCTTATACACAAAAGAAGAACCCTTTTTGGTGCTAAACAGAATTTTCAAAAAGGTTCTATATAGAACCATGAACACTCAAAGAACCATTTGCATGCGTAAATGGTTCTTTGCATGGTGAAATGGTTCTTCAGACTGATGTTGTACATGGTTCTTATATAGCGCCTATTTTGAAAATGGTTCTATATAGCACCATAAAGCGTTCTGCTATTGTTTCGATGTCAAGCTTGTACACAGTAGAACCTTTTTTCAGTGCTATATAGAACCATTTTCAAAAAGGCTCTGTACAGAACCATGAACACTAAAAAAAAACACATTTGCATGCTTAAATGATTCCTTGCATGGTGAAATGGTTCTTCAGATTGATGTTGTCTATGGTTCTATGTCACACCAAAAAAGGGTTCTGGTATTGTTACAATGTCAAGCTTATACAAAATAGAAGAACCCCTTTTGGTGCTATATAGAACCATTTTCCCAAAGGTTCTGTATAGAACCATATACAACTTCTATCTGAAAGTACTATTTCACCATGCAGAGAACCATTTAAGCATACAGATGTTTCTATATAGGACTCAGGTTCTAGATAGAACTATTCTCTTAACTAAAGGACCCTTAAAGAACCATCTTTTTGGATGTATGTTAGCAGTGATCTTGTGTTCTGTGTTTATGTCTGTCCTGTGCAGCACTAATATCTGGTTATGGTTTATTATTAAGATGTTTATCTCACAGTTTAATAAATAAACACGTTCACAAAAAAAGGCCAATTAAAAGTATAATATCCGGGATTACCGGGTAATATTAAATAGGACTACTTCCAGGAAGTGGTGTAGATAGTGACGAAGCCTCGATTACGTCATCGCTGGTCAGCTTTTTTGCCAGGCCGGGAGAGAGACTCATGAATATTGAATTAAAGCCCCGCCCATGCCGGGCCAACGTGCCAGACAGACGGCAACAGCCCACCCGTATTCGGGCAAAGCCCGCCTCTTGCGCAGTGATTGGCTGGTAGTTTATACGCCGATAGGACAGTGAAGTAGCGAAAACTAATGATGATAATAACTGACTTTTGAGGGATCGTGTGCAATATTTACAGTCAATTAACACAATAAATATGAATATAACAATGAATATAAAACTCCCTGAATGTGTTGAGTTTAATGTAAATATAACTCGCTGTGCTAAAGCTTTACTTGTTTCTGGCTTTGTCCCAAATGGCTCCCTATGCCCACTGTAGTGCGCTACGTAGGTCTTAAAATTAACCCCGAACTGTGTGACAACGAGCCATTTGGGCTTCAGCAACATGTGCACAGTTCCCTACTGGACATACAGCGCGCTGTTTAGGTGTACAAGCCAAAATATCAGAACTCACATAGTGCACTATGTAGGGAGCAGGGAGCCATTTGAGCACCTCCCCAATTTATTAAAGGGAAATGCATTACAGCAAAGCAGAGTCAGCCATTTCAAGTTAGACAGAAACCACAAATAACATCACAAGTGCAATAAAAGTATCATAAAAAAATTCAGAGAACACAATACTGTGATTAGAGCTGCCCTGTGAAGCTCTCAACACATTCTGAGACATTTTTATATAAGATATTTAATTATATATATATATATATATATATATATATATATAATATAATATAGCACCTTTTTGAAAATGGTTCTATGTAGCAACAAAAAGGGTTCTGCTATTGTTACAAAGTTAAGCTTGTACACATTAGAAGAACGTTTTTTGGTGCTACATAGAACCATTTTCAAAATGGTTTTTCTATATAGAACC